TCGACCAACAAATTTCTGACCAATGTGCAACTTACGACAGAGGCATCGAAACATAAAATTCATATTATTTATTTACTTTCATTTTAACTCGCAGATTGGGTAGGCATTCAAAGAGCATAGAACTTGGATAGATCGGCGATGGTGTAATAAGATGGACTAGTTAATAAGAGACTAATTGTTCCTGTTGTAAACATACGGGCATTTGGAAATCTGCAATTAAGATGGMGGACGACAACTGKGCGTGTAACGTGGTATAGGAATGGCTTTTAAATGTATAAAACGTGTTTTTTAATCTTTTTTCATTCTTTTTTACACAGGTAAATCAAATATAGAATCATACACACACAGGAAAAAGTAGTATCAACAAATTMTATATTGTTGTACATTTGGAAAGACGCAATAAAAAATTTTRAATTATGCCCAGCGGTGATTTTACAAATCTATTCCTAACGATTGTATATTTCATCTGCTGAAACTTTGCATGATTATTCAGATAGCATAAGATCATTTTCCTCAAGGCATTTCTCTTTATTTTTGAGAAATGGTATCCCATAATCCTCTGGTTTCTCTTCAGCTTCTGCTGTCGTCTGGTAGAGAGGTCGCAAAGCTGTCTCAGGTAACCATAGAGAMGAAATCGCGCAAGCAATGGCACAGGCTCCAAATATGGTCATAGGAAGTATGATGCTTGAACCAGGCAATTGAGCCTAAGTAAAGAGGAAATGAAGTAAATCTATGTTAAAATTGTTCTGAAATAATGATGAATGTAGTAATGCCCTTAAACTCGCCCTTACCAACAATAGCAAGAATGGTGCAGCTATCCCACCGACACGAGCAGCAGTTGAACCCACTCCCTGTGCTGTATTTCTACGGGGAAAAATAGAAGAAAACTCAAAGGCGTATCCAAGGGGGAGGGCAAGGGGAGAGCTAAATATAAATAAATCGTAAATTCAAATTTTTTTACTGTATTATGAAATAAGGTAAGCAAATAAGTCCAATGCAAATTGAAGCTTTCATCTCTCAAGATCTCGCAGAATCTATATATCCCAGTCCCTTAATTTTTTAAATATATTGGCGCATTGTTTTACATAACCTGGTTAGAAAGCGCGCTTCGGCGTAAAAGAAAATAACGGTTAAGCTGCGACAAGCTATATGTTTACATTTGGACGTGATGCATACTGTCAATCCCATTAATCAGTTCAATTATTTGACCCCAAAATAATTTACCTGAATTTTTTCATAATACTATAGTTTTATTTGTAAAATATGATATAACGACACTTACAATAGTTGCTCGTATCAAAACAAACAAACTGCAATCATTGAATGCCTGTATTAAATCAACATTAAGACATTAAGGGACATTACAATATTACCTCAGGATAGTGGGAAACAGTTCTGATGATATCAGGTACACGCTRCTCCAGCTCTGGTTTATCACTAACTGTCCAGCTATAGCTAAATAGGTAGTTGTGGTAGCATATCCTGGTTTACGTATAAAACAAATAGATATTGTAAATTAAATTTTATGCAWATAGCGATGTTAAAGGCGTTGATGACGACGACAATAATGACAACTGAATTGCATACAAACCTTCAGGGAAAGTCAAGATCATCAGAAGTAATACACCAGTCAAAGCCATCTGTGTGCACTGAGTTAGACGACGCCCCAARCTTAAACGTAAAACAAAATATAGATTTTTTTTTCGGTCCGGTATCCTAGTCATTCGCGCGCTAGCCAATCGCTAGCGCGCGGTCCGGTTTTTCACGATCTGCCCGGTCCAACGGTATCCTACAGCCATGCTGCGAGCAAAGTTGCATAAAATACAAATAGAAAAAATAAAAATGTTATTTACCGGCTATAGGTCGGTCCGTATAGGAAAACACTGCCCTCGGTCTTTTATGTACGGACCCAGTCGCTGCGCTCGTCCCGTACCGTTAAGGCCTCGAGCAGTGTTTTCCTATACGGACCTCCCAACCGGTAAATTACATATGTATATAGAATATAAGTCCGAAGAAAGGATTGTATCTTCATCTTGATGGGTCCTATAAATCAACATTCTCTGTAGCGTGCTTTTCAATCGGTTCGAGTTCCCGAGGCGGCTCCCAAAAAAGGGGGGCTAGTAACTTCAACGAATTTGAAAATACAAATACAAATCCTACAAATATGTAGAACTTTGTTGTCGATTGAAATTTTCAAGAACGTAGAGGGATATAAAAAGTTMTCTGAGTTTTTCGTTGTTAAAAAATATTAGGCGCCCACTCAGAAAGATACGACTTTTGTGGCAAAAGTASGCAGTTGAGCTCTGCAAAGTGRTTTGAATTGGAAGATTGAATTATCTTGTCACAATAAATTTGGCAGTCGCCACTAACGATTAAGGATTTTTTTTCGGGGGCATCGTCCTGTAGTACTGATAATAATAGGGAGGGAAAGGTTAAAGCCGTCAAGCACCAATAGAATACGCACCGATTCATTGAATACCAAGTGGGCAAAATAATGAGAGCAGACACTGCTGCAAATCCCAGCACGATGATGTATATGCTGCCGTGGAGCTGAGACGCGTATATCAWAATTGCAAAATAGACAAAAGAAGTGGTAAACCTAAATCAGAGAACAAAACAAAATTCGTTAACAATTCATGACCAATCAAACACGAGTCGCGAAACCTCTATTATTATATTTTTCCTATCTTTTATCTGAAGAGAGGACTATAATTGAGTTTTTCAGGCTCAACACCAGGCTTTCTTCTGCCCCCTTTATACAGAAATAATTTTAAAAGGGTTTTGCTGATTGTTTGCTCTCCATGTCTTTGCAGACCTTTTTTTAGCGAGATTCATACCATGCAAAGGAAGTGATGATGGTCCATTTTCTCAGCTTTGGTGTACGGACAAGATCTAATGGAGTGGATCTCTTTGCTGCCAAACTTTGCTCAACTTGACTTTGATGAATGGATTTCAGCAAGCTCATCACCTCCTCAGGATCACAGGGTTTGTTGTCTTTTCCACCGTACTTCATGATGATCTTGTGGGCTTGTTTTACTTTGCCTTTAACAACGAGCCAGCGAGGGGACTCTGGTATAGCACTGATCATGATAATAAAACTATCAGCCTGCTTATTAATTCACTGAATTATTTTACTGTTCAAAGTAAGATTTAAAAAATACACGAGGAACTCTTTATCTTAATATCTGAGCGCCACGGGGAATGGTAAAAATCTRTTCATGTGATGATTTTTGTTCTCATTGCAGCCTGCAATTCAGTGCATTCTGAATTACTTYGATAAGTAATGTTTAAAGTCCGAAAATGCGGACTTGAAAKCTCGTCCAGTCTGAATTGGAGGACTTTGAACTAGTTCTMGTACTCATTAATKTTTCGGCAGGTGAAAAAAGCGAAGGAAATACATATTACAGAAATATGTTAAGTTTATTTAGGTTAAGGTTTATATAGGTTTTAGTCCACAAGTTTAAATAATGAAAAACCGTTTGTTGTTCTTTAATTCCCAAACGGGCTTCTGAAACAAAAGCTATTCAAATTGTCTTTGTCTGCTATTCATGACATTCCTAATGAGCCTAATTCATACAATTTATAAATATGTTATCTTCCGAGGAATCGTATCAGAAACTTGGAGTTGTAATGGTATAAGACGGCGCATAGAGGAATGGTTGGAGATCGATTCGTGAGCCATCCATGGTATCAAAACCTATTTTCACAAAATTGATTCTATACTAAATTGGTTATTTCTAATATCTTGATTATTATTAGCTAGTAGTAGTAATGTAGAATTAACTGGATACAAGGTAGGAGTTCCAGTTACTATATACACGTGGTACAATTATTACAATCAGGGATTGGCGGGATACCTCCTGAATAATTAATGAGTATTAGAACCTCTTTTGAACCAGGTTTACATCTAGAAAAACATGAAACCTACCACCAAAAGAAGTACAACAAGAAGGAATGTAGACACGACACCCAAACATACGTCCTCCAATCTCTTATGAAATATGACACAAGTATTGCTGCCAAATCACCAGCCAGCCAATAAAATGTGTTGACATTCCCCATTCTAGCCCGGTAGCCTGGTCCAATGATCTCCAACATTAGGATGTATGYGGATAATGTRGCACTGATCATGAATGCTCCGGTTGCAAAACGAAGAAAAGCGAAAAGTGCGATAGAAGACTTTACGAATGCTTGAGCAATGCCACTGATAGCCTGAAAATATCAATTATATTAKTGACAAATATTACAATTGTTCCACCATTAATATATGCAAATTATGAGGGTAAAACGCTGCAGCACTCTAACTATCTCGTGCTKTAATTTCTYTCATTAGATTTTCAATCACTCGACAACAATAAAACAAAGTTGGCCAAACAACCCCATTTTAAGTCCTTTTTAACCCTCTACATAGTCTAGYCCTGGCCTCCTTTCGACCCGCTCCGGTTCTAAACTTATGATATGATTCAAAGCTTTGAAATGACGAGGAAAAATAATACAATTGTTTTCCAGGTGCCAGGGACAATAATAATCACAGATRAAAATGACATTCCATCAGTCTTTCCGTTTATTGTACAGAGAATTGTAAACTCGCGATCACCACATCTATGTGGTGATTGCAAGGTCACAAAGCTGACATGCGCAWGCAAGTTATACTGGACTCTCTTTTCCCGCGAGTCCTGGARCGGGTCGAAAGGAGGCCAGGACTGGACTAGCCCTYTACAWTGAACAGTATTGGCCTCGGAARAAAGGAWCCAGAAGAACTTGCAAGCGCATGAGTTAGATCGCACCACATAGTATGCAAGTAGTCCTGTGATGTTTGTCATTCCTTCATGGTTCATATAAAACATGAA